TTAAAGAGAGAAGATAATAAAAGAACAAGAATTAAGACAGAAAGTAACAACTGACATTACATTTAAATTTTTGAAGATCAAAGTTAGCTGGAAAGCAAGAAAACAGAAGAGAGTTCCACAAGCGAGAAGTGCAATAGAAGAAACAGTTAGCATAGAACTTATGGTTATACTAACAGTTTCTTCTATAGCACTTCACGCTGAGGAGTATTAAATTTTTTTTTTTTTTTTTTTAAATCTGATGTGTTTGTCATATTTCATTTACATATATATAAGCAATGTTTCTGTCAAAGTTTTATTAAACTTATTGCATTAAAAAGGATTTATATCTACCATATCAAAATTCAGTTGTAATTTGACAGAATTATCTAAACAAGTAAGAAATAATCTGCTTAATTAGAATTTCTGAAAACTATTGAATTATCTAAACAAATGTAAAAGTTTGCTTTATTATTAATAAAACATTAGAAAATTATTCAAATATGCAGAATAAAAGTTTGCTAAATTAATTTGAATTATTAATAAAAACAGGACAGAATTATGTAAATATTCCAAATTTTAATTTCATCCTAACTGGATTTAATTTAAAAAGAGGTAAACAAAGTAAAAAAGAATTTTCAGAATTAATTGAAAAAGAAATCAGGTCAAATGAAAATCTATGTCGATTATTAGAATTATTAGAGCAAAAAAAAAAAAAAATCCAATAAAAATAGAATAGAAATAAATTTCTGAAGAGTTATCCCCCCTTAAACATTGTCACTGCATCTAAATTTTGAAGAGCCATATCAGAGGAAAAAAAATCCATTTTTAACTCTAAAACGTAATTTTATTAACTTTGGTTACATGAAAATAAATAAATTAAAAAACTTTATATATTTGAAAGCTGGCAATTAAATCTTGTTATTCTTTCTAATATAACGCTTTTGCACAAAATATTAAAAAAAAAAAAAAAAATCATTTTTCATTTTAACTGTAAATGAAAATTTTATTTTAAATACTTTGTATCTGAATATGTTAAAATTACTTCTCTAAGATTAAGGTTGAGGTTAGCTGAAGATAAATCTCTGTAGGTTACCTGAATCAATAAAGGCAGACGGACACAATGACCGAAATAAATGTGATATGAGGACAACAGTCTGAATGTAAAATTGTAAATAAATAACAATACAGTCATTTCCTTCTAACGAAATCCTTTTTGTGTTTCTGATAGTTCTTTTAAGCTTAATTTTTCTTTTGAAAATATTCCCTATTTTGTTCTTAGGCTGAAATAATGAAGTTTAGATATGACTGAATACATTTAATAAGAAAAGTTTCAATAGGTTAAAAAAAAAAAAAAAAAAAAAAGCGTAAAAACAATCAGTTTATCCAAACTTCATTAACCTACAGAGAATTCCGAATTGAATCCTTTATGGGGATAGAGACTGTTCTCATTCCACAGGCTCTAGGGATATCACGTCTAGTTCTTATTTTTAGTAATGCTCCATTATTGTGCATCCTGTTTTCACTGAGTCCAAGTACACACTGCTAGGGATTGAACTCCTAATTACTGTCACTAAATTCATTAACCAACGCTTTAATCCATTTAAGACAATTCTCCATGGAGAACTAACTTCCCTGCCTGCTCATGAATGCTGCTACTGTTCGTCAAGCTTGACTTGAATCCGTGGAATAAAAACATTACTGAAGTGATGGCAATTTACAAGTGCAAATCAAAATAGAGTAGTGTCAGTCATTCTTAATAGCAATAAAAATGTTGAGTCATACATTATCTGCCTATTTACATTATACTCCAAGTTCAAATTATGTACAATTTGTGGTTTTCTTCATTTTTCTTTATCTTTAAAACAGTTTAAAAAAAGTTAGTTAAAAAAAATACTTCTATCTAGACAAATACTTCTAACAAATCCATAGTATTTTTCCACAAATTCTATAGAAACAAATCATTTTTATTGTAAACCATTTTTTAAGGAAATGGATTCAGTAAATAAAAGTACGGTACCAACATTTGTTAGAAAACTATTTGTAAGGAGACAAGTTCAAAACAGTTGACACTAGAAATAACTTTCTTCTTAACCCACTTACCATCTTATGCAGTAATATCACAAGAAACTCATGGAAAATAAATAGATGTCTGTAAAATTGGTGAAAACAAAATCAATACTAATTTTACACGCGTTTCCTTGTTTCAATTTAAGAAAAGTTAAACTCGATTAGCAATAAAAATGTAAAAAGTTTAAATTTGCGTACCTTCTACTTCTGCTTATTTTTTATTGGTTCATTAATAAAAGTTTTTTTTTTTTTTTTTAATAATTCTAAGTTTATATTAAATTTTATTTGGTAAAAAAATAGTATAATCGGGGCCAGAATTCGCCTGCGCAAAAATGAAAGTAATTTTGTTAATAATACATATATGGACTAAAAACAGTAGTTGACTGGTTCAGATTTTATAAGGATGTGTGCTGCTATTTCAGTGAGGAAAAAAAAAAAACAGTGGTAATAAAATTGGCATCCAAAAATATGTATTGAACAATGTTCTACCGACGATCATTACTGATGGTTGGTCCGCTTATAATGGCTTCTAAAATGATCTGCGGGTACAATCACAACACAAATTCATGAAAATAATTTTGATTTTTTTTACAATTTACTTGAATCTTTCATTAGAGAATAGCTGGCTTCGTAAAAGCATTTTCTCAGAGGATCAGGAACCAACAAGCATCCGCACGAATGAGAATATTTCGAGAAAGAAAAGTATTTGAAAAATATTTATATATATATATATATATATATATATATATATATATAAAAACTCGCGAATTATGGGCCTGATTCTTGACTTTCCTTTTTTGTGGGAAATTTACATACAAAAACATTTTATCAACAACCATTTTTTAATCACACTTTCTTAGCTGGCCTAAAATTTAAAATAACTCAATGTTCCATAAATGAAAAATAAAAATCATATATATATTTTAAGGTTATAGAACCAAGAAAGATTAACCGTTATTCAATAAAAGTGGCGCGTGTCCTTGAGAGCGTTGTTAACCGGTATTTCATTTTATAAACAAATTATTTACTCTGAGAGGGAAAAAAACCCCCAAAAACAAAACAAAGCCAATACAGGAAACGAGTTATTTCCCTTGACATGTGTCAACACTAATGCACACACGGAAGCAGACAACAGTAGTAGTAGTAGTAGTAGTAGTTGCTGTTGTTGATATATAAATAAACTTGTATGTGCATATGTATTTATTACCAGGGAACATTGCATTGATGTTGTACAGAGAGAGAGAGTGAATGACTAGGGAGAGAACGGCTTTCTCTTTGAATAGTACAGAAAAGCTCCCAGCCATGCAAGCAAGCAAGATTATTAGCATAAAACATGTCGAAAGCTTAGATGAAAACAACAACAGACAACACATGATCGCGGAATGAAATAGAATTTTATTTAAATATTACATTTAAAGAGAAAAAAATGTGATTGCGATTTTTTTTTAAATTAAAAGATGATTGTTGTTTTTTTTAATTTATTCGATTTTTATGTTATGATCACGTGTATTTTTTAAACTTTAATTTCGATTTCTGTAGAACACTGTTTTCTGTTTATTTTAACGAATTTTTAGCGGTTAGATAATAATCATCACTTTAGCTTCGAATTTAATTTTGTAAATAATGTATTTATTTTAGAGATAATTAACGACAGTATTTTTTTTCCTTCATTTAATTTCCAAATAAATTTTATTCGATTGCAATAATCTTTCTTTATAGAACAGTAAAATGTCTATAATTTCCTTTATCGTGACAAAGAAAAGCTAAGAACGAACCTAAAATTATTTGATCTTAAAACGACGCTTAATAAAACAAAAATTCAAAGATTTGGATTTAAACTATCATTTCTTTTGACAAATAGAAAAATGTGTAGCTGACAATGGCAGGTTTCGGTTAGTTATGCAAGTTTTGTAAACTTTAAAATGAGATAATTTTAATAAAAACAATAACCTGATATAAAAACATTGATCTTACGATTATTTACAATTTAAAACTTTTAAAAGCACGTGTTTTAAGCGGTATACAATTTTTAATGAATATTTACGATAATAATTCAACTTCGATAACTAAGTCGAAGAAAGAAAATCGATGTATATAAATCGAAAAAATAATTTAAAAACTATGAGAACGGAAAAATATTTTTAAGTAAATAATTTTTAATTTGGTGCATTTGTTTTTTTTTTAATTTTTAAACTAGTTAAGTTCGTCTATCTTCTTTGTTGTTATTTACATGTTTGAGTTCAACAGAATAAATTTACAAAAACAAATAAAAGCTGTACTTTTTTTCAGGCATTTTAAGAACAAAAGTAAACTCCTGTTTTTATTTCCTCAAAACCTACACAACAAACCCGAAAGAAACAAGAGCGGCCATGTTGCGATTTGTCAAATTTACTCACATATCCACGCCGAATATGATTTCAAAAGGAAAAATCGTTTGCGCGAACAGTACAAAACGCTAAAGAAACTTAGATTAGTTTAGACCAAGTTTTTCTTGGGTTTCTCAATTATTTCATAGATATTTAACATAAAGGTCGATTTGATTAGCAGTTTATTTACAACGGTCACACTACATTATTGGGCGCCGCCATGTTGAAACTAGCGAGAGCGTCGGCTGAAGAAGAAACGAAGGTAGAATTTGGACAAAAAAGCAATGACATTTAAAAACAGAAGGCTGAATGAATTCTGGACACCGATCAAACACCAAATTTAATAGTTAAAACAACAACTATATTTTCTGTGATTATTTCCGGCATTAACATTCGCTAGAGCTCTTTAATAAACAAAAATCCAGCATTTTCAATCGTCTCCCCTTCCAAACAAGCAATCAAATGGCGGATTACTTTCTTTCTTTCCTTTCTTCCTTTTCTCATTTCATCTTCCTTTCTCTCTCTCTTTGATTGGCTTTCCCCCCTCCCCGCAAAAAAAAAAACTTTTTTTTAATTGTTTATTCTCACCTGTGTTGTAGACATGCAGCTCGTCGACGATTCCCTCATTTCCTCCTCCAAAGACAACCATAAGGTCTTTGATGGCTACGGCGCGGTGTCCATGCCTCGGCCGGGGACATGGCCCCGCCGTGTTGGTAACTCGCTTCCACTTCAATATGGGTGCCGCCATATTGAAGTTTACCCACAATGCTATGCGAACAAGAGAATGGGGCGAAATGCCCGGATGTTCTAAACAACAAAAAAAAAAATTGTCAAATCACGTCAACATGCTATCACACCTTTTTTTTTTCTTTTGACATTAAAAAGTATCCCATTATCATTTGAGTTTTACACGAGCTCATTTTTCTTTCCATTCATTAATAAAAAAATACAATTCTATTGGCAGGGAGAAAAAAAAGTAAAAATTAGGTAAAACAAAATAAAATCACGCCCAAACGATTTCTTCTCGTTATCTCTCCGCAATGCAATTTCAAATCTCGTTGCTTCTCGTTTCAATCCATCACTATTTCCGGTAAAATATGCATATGATTTGTAGGACCATCATGCAATGTGACTTTAACTTCCGTAGAGACTGAAAAAACCTCGTGCTGTGAATTTGCTGCGGGTCCAGTTGCTTTTTTTTCCCCTCTAATTTACCTAGATAAAACATGCAAATCTATCAAATTCTTTTTTTTTTTTTTTAGTTACAGAATTAGAAATAAACTTAGTTTTTAAACAAATTGTTAATCATTTAAAAAAAAATAAGGGTAATTTATGTCAACAACAAAACGCAAAATAAATGCCAATGGCCGCTGGACCTAATGAAAAAAATCATATTCTAAATTTTATACTAGAGCGCGAACCGCATAATTTCTTGTGGAATAAAAACAGGTCTTTGTTATTACCTACTCCAACAATAAGGAAACACTGCTAAAGATTTTTTATTGTCAACAATAAACATTGTCTCTAAAACAAAAGAGAAGGTAACTCCGAACAACATACTTGGACATTTAACTCCGACTTTTATTATTATTATTTTCGTGTTTGTTTTTTTTTTATTATTTTGCTTTTTCAACCATGCCATTCAAAATAATATTTTTCAGTGTTAATTTTCTTATTTTATGAAGGAACCGAGATTTTACGCTATAAATTTTTAGAGTTGGTGGTACCTTAAAGTTTTGTTCGCTCGTTAAAAAAAGTTGGTGGGAAACAAGGAAAAAATTGCGAGGCTAATATTTTTTGTAGATTAGCATTCAAGATTTTTCTCAAGCCACGAAATTTGTCAGAATCGGAAATTTTTTTATCATTTTAGAAGGGGGTCTTGTTCACAATAAAATAGTGTCAAGTCAAATTTATCCCTGAATTGTTAAAGAGTTATTGAACTTCGTTTTTTTATTTACAAATGTCAATTTTGAAACCGCTCTAGCTAGAATCATTGATAACTGTACTATTGATGATCCTTTTTCCCAATTCGTAATATTATGCAGTTATCAAATAGCTAAACACAGTTTCAAACATGACATTTCTAAATAAAAACAAAGTACAGATAACTTTTTAAGAAGTCAAGTATCGATTTGCCACTATTTATTTTATGAACAGGACACACACTCCTTCTAAAATGATAAAAAAAAATCAATAATTTCTGATTCTGACAAATATAATGGTGTGAGGAAAATCTATTGAATGCTAATCTACAAAAATTATCTATTCCCCTCATTTTTTTTACAAGCAGACCAGTCAATTTAAATAACACAAGTTGATAAAGCAAATGAAGTTCATAAAAAAAACAGTCACATGTCCTATAACCTACTTGGGTCATTGGGATATGACATACGGTATTTACTCTGTAACCCCACTAGGATGAGATGTGACACAAGGTCTATTTTTAGGTGGGGACCCGAGTGCGTATGCCCATGACAGGAACAAAAATTTCCCTCAGTACAAGCACCGATCCCTCCCTCTGGTGCAATGGGAGGGCGCAGCCTCAGACATCTGTTCCCCAGGGCTGGGCACCTCTTCAGTATTATTTTCTCAGTTGCCCCTCTGTCCTTTGACAGAGAATCCCCTGAGCACACTCTGTCCAAGGACAGAGACACAACTGAGAGATGATAAGTAGATGTGTACTTACTCAAAAAGATATGACATACTACAGCAATGAGCATGTCTAGGTCAAGATAGCTTGATGGAGCCTATCATCTCATACTGGCTTTGAATTCATAGTTGTCCTCCAAGATTAATTTTGATATTAGTCTGTCCTATTAATTACAGGGGATCAATTCAGAATCTTCATTCTAGATTGGCTACAGACCAAGATAACAGTGTCCAATTTATCCTGTTGTCAGGAGATGAAATGCATTCATGCCTTTCCTACTGACACTAGGCTAAAAGTGAATGTAATAGAATCAGCCAGGATTTGAACTCGGCATACAAATTCCACTCTTTACACTGGCAACTTACAGTGTTACACTAGCCACCCATTAAAGAACAAAACATGAAATAAAAGCTTATTGTCAGGTCAGGAGGTTTTTGGCTGCATAAATGATTAATCTTCCTTGTATATTCAAATTTTAATTTCAATTTTCTTCAAGGCAAATTTGAATTTCGATTTTTTTTTGAAGCAAAGACTTTTTAGCAAATTTTCTTTGCAGCAAAGTCTGAGGTAAATTTAAATTTTCTTCAAGGCAAAAACTTTGATGTAAATTTTAATTTTAATTTTCTTTGAAGCAAATTTTAAAAATTTTCTTTGAAACAACGACCGGTGAATTTGAATTTTCTTTGAGGCAAAAACTTTAAAAGTAAAGGGGAAATCAAGTAAGTTGCGTGAGCATGTGCTGAGAGATGCATGTGTTCATATGAGATACATTTAGGTGCATGTGTATTGTGATATATATGTTGTGATAGATTTATATCTGTGAAGATATTCAATCTGAGCTTGTATATAACATCTGCGAGAAGGTTTTATCTCTTGCTAGTCATCTAAGATCACATGAAAACCAGCAGTCTAATGCTGACTATCTGGATGTCTTTCTTTGCTGGGTACTTATGCCAGTTTTGTAATAAAATTTGCAGGTCTGCCACTTGGCTGAAGCAGCATGAGAGTGTACTCAAGGAAAGTCATGTTCAAGACTGTAAAAGCCTTTCATATGTTACATATGTAAAAAAGCATGCTGGCTTGCAAAGTCATTTGCAGGTACATGGCCGCTCAGCTCAATGAAAAGATGATGGCATTTTTCTGTAAAGAAGTGGTAGTTATTATATGTGAGTGTGTGTTGAGATATACATATATAGGTCAACACATTTGTGTACATATGAAGATATTGTGGGAAAATGAAATAAAATCAATAAATATAATAATAATGAGTAATAAAAGAAAAAGAAATACATATTCTCATAATGCTAAGAGTAAAGGAACCAGAAATATGATTACCCCCACTTGGTTTTGTCTAACGTTAGGTGGCATTGTTGAAGCCTATAAAAAGGCAAACATTTCCTGTCTGACTCTCTTTCTCCTGTTTGCTTCAAGATATGAACCACATGATAATTACGTTCCCACTGGAGAATGTTAGCTTCCTGGGTCTACTGACAAGTGAACGCTTTTCCACATTGTTCAGACGTGTTTTGACAACCCTACTCATGAAGTGAACTAGTTATTCCAACTCAGTGCAAAGCTGAATTTAACTCAAACATTTTAACGATTGTTATTCTCACTTGTTTTTGAACCAAAAAGGAAAATGGACATATCCAAGAAACATTAAGAATTTTGTTTCTCAACCAGTGTGCCCAAGCATATTGATGTGCCCTGAAAGGTAGCAAGGTGCAACGTAAGTTAAGAGAAGAGCATTTTTAAGAGGGAATTGATTTAAGCTGGGCCTAAAAATGGGCCAATAGAAATTAATGGGTTAAAAATTACAAGGAATGTTTTCTTTAATTATTTCCAAAATATGTTTTCCTATTTTTTAAGAGTGAACTGGTTTATGTAAATTGGGCTCCCAAATGGGGTGGTAGGCATTAATGAGTTAAAAATGACAAGGATTGTCTTCTTTTCCAAATTTTTTAATTCACATTCAAGAGATCATCAAGTGAGTAAAGATATTGTCTGAATATTTTTGATTAAGGACTTTCAACCATACTTCTGGTTATTTTAAAAAAATCCAGTCTTATGTAGATGTTTTGTCTTTCCTACATTCAAATACTTTTTAAAACTTGGCTGTTATAGCTTGTGGTGACATCACAGGCATGTGACATTGAGCAAGTTTATTCATTTGTTAAATGTGTTGACAATTGTTATGATTTACATAGTTTAACACAAGTATGGCGCATTCAGGTGGGGAAGAAACTCACTAATGCGTGTCACCAGTTAGTGAATACATTTAAAACTACCGACATTCTTTCATTTCTGATTTTTAAGAATTTTAAACATTTCTGATTTTTAAGAATTTTTATGCTTGGAATTTTTTTTTAATAGTTTAATATGTTTACCCAATACAAGGCCCAAGAGTCATTCAAGGTAGAGAGTTACTGAATGTGGTGTGTGGTAAGAGAAGAAAGTAGGAAGTGAAGATTATGAGGATATGGAGAATAGATTTGAAGAAGTTAAGTATTTGTCATATGTTTTGTTTGGAAATTTTTTCTTGACTCTACAGGAGTATCTTTGCCTGATTTTTTCCCCCTAGAACAGAATCTATACTCAGTGATTTGCACATAACTCCATCCATGGTTTCAGTTATCATCTCCAAACTAGATCATCAAAAGGCTTGCAGACTTGACTATATCTGCAATTGTCCCAAGGATATGTTCACCTGAACTAACTCCTGTTCTCTCCAAACTTTACAACAAATGCCTTATTACTTCTTGCTTTCCAAATTGTTGGAAATCCTCCTCTGTACTTCCTGTCTTTAAGAACTCTTCTGGTCATCACTGTATTAGTCTTTTACCTCTTTTTGGCAAAGTAGTAGAGACACAAATCAACTTTGAATAAGTTAAGTATCTCACTTCACATGGCCTTCTTTCAGATAAAAAATATGGATTTCATTTTTGTAGGTTAATGGCTATTACTGAATTTGTCTATCAGGCTTTAGATAAGAATGGCAAGGCTCAGGTTATCTCTTTAGATATCTCAAAGGCATTTGACAGAGTTTGCTATGCTGGCCTTCACCACAAACTCAAGGGCTTTGGTGTCTCCGGCTGAAT